TTTCACTTTGCCTTTTTGGTAAAGAATTTATGGTTCACGTCAATTCTTACACATTCTTACACATTTCTTTCTCCTCAACACAACCCATCACCACACAATGCCCACTATCTTAATCCTCGTGTCATTTGTACTATGGAAGAATAATTAGTGACGGAGGGAGTAATTTAATTTCATTTGTATATGAAATATTGGTATCATATGCACGATATTAAAAAAGGTATAATTTTGATTTTTTTTTGTAATAATCGAGGTACAAAATGTTCCATATTAAATAAAGAAAATAATTCATGACTTAAAAAGTATATCAAAATTCATTATTTTTAACAATCTTTCAAATGACATCAATATATAAAATTTAAAAAATATATGAAGGTTTATTAAACAATCTTCCTATTTTCCAACCTCAATACAGACTATTCTGTATTAAATAAATAAATGATTCCTAATATTATGTATAAATAAATAAAATTAATACTCTAAACAATATATGTTCTTTAAAGTGAAACTCCGTGTAACTTTTTTTATTTATACTCCGATTGTTACAAAACGTATATCACAATTCACGATTAATAAATTTGCATTATCATTCATACGAAATTATATTTTAAAATATATTGTATTGATTAATAAAATAAAGCAACAGTTATATGAAAAAGTATCTAAATGTGTACATTTTTATAGTCAATTCATCTAGAAAAGTTTCTATGTGTACATTTTTATAGTCAATTTGATATAATTCTAAACACATTTATAGTTACTAAAACTCAATAAGTTTATATTTTTATCAATTAGACTTAATTTGATCATATATTATGAATTACTACTTCTGTCCCTTAAAATTTTGTCAAGCTTGACCGGCACGGAGAATAATAAAGTGAAATTTTTTGTGGTTGAGGTTTGTGCAATGAAGAAATTAAAGAAACAACAGTAACCACACAATAATTGATTAAAAGGGAAAACGACAAAGTTTTGGGACGTCCCAAAAATAAAAGATGACAAAGTTTTAAGAGACATGGGGAATATTTATTCATTTAATACAAAATAATTTGTATCGAGGTTTGAATATTGAAAGGTTGATTAACAAACCTTCAAATGTTTTTTTAAAATTTTATATATGCAATATTGGTATCAAATGAAACATCGTAAAAAATTATGAATTTTGATATATCTTTTATAAAAATTAGAGAAAAAATGAAAAAGTTATAACAGTTTGAAGGAAATGGTATTTTTTTGTATAATGGGACCCATATGAATAGATGCCACGTTTCCAATAATACAAAGTAGTATCAATGCTTAAGTTTCTTTGGATTAGTGTTCCGTTCTAATCCTTCAATTTGCCACATGACATTTGTATAACAAATGAGTGAATTGTGGAATGAATGACACATGAATCTTTTTGAGGACAAAAATGTATTTTAATAAGCTATTTGTTTTCTTATATATAAATAGATAGATACTAATTACATAAATATAATAACATGGAGAATTTCCTATATAAGAGTAAAGAAGTTTTTGAATTCTAAAATGAGAAATCATGTTTTTTACTCCTTGAAAATTTCTGCCAAGTTTGGCATTACTAGGCTTCAAACCATGACATTTTTTTCCAAACTTGGCAGATTACTCATATTCAGGGAATAAAAAACTTGATACATATATTTTGGAATTTCAAAACGTTTTTGCTCCTATTTAGAACAATTTCTACAAATAATATAAAAAAATAGTCGCAATAAATTATTACAAACTATTGACTAAAATACATGTCATTTAACAAAATGTGTTCTTGAATTTAGTATATTACTAATTTAAGTTTTAGTAACTTATTTTCAATTTTTACACAAAAGTGACTATTACACTATATTGTACTCCCTCAGTCCCGTTAACAATGAGACAAGAGGAAGGGACACGCAAATCAATAAAAATTGGTTTATATGGTTGATATTGAATTGATAAAGTAAGAATAAAGTAAGAATTATTTAGAGGCACATAAACTTTGCCAAATTTGGTATGGGACAATCTTATTGGGACGGACCGATAAGGTAAAACGGGACAATCATAGCGGGACGGAGGTAGTAATACTTCGTGACTTTTAGCCATTTGGTCATGTTTTTATAAATAACTTTTATTTCAAAAATATTGTTTAAAAATCTTCTAATAATAATAAAGGAAAAGGGTCAGATAGGGCCTCGAACTTACAAAAAAATGTCAAATAAGGCCATATATACGAGGTTCTGTCCAGCCGACGCCATTTTGGGCGGTTGAAATTTTCAATGAAACTTTTTAAGCATCTTATTCATTAAGTCTAGTTGACTCATTCTAATTTTCAGCTAAAACTTCAATCGGGAAGGCATTCAAATAAATTCTTGAAGATAAGTGCGCAGTTAAAAGCGTAGTTATCTTCAGGAATTTATTTGCATGTCTTCCCGATTGAAGTTTTAGCTGAAATTTGGTATGAGTAAACTAGACTTAATGAATAAGATTTTCACAAAATTTCATCGAAATAATCTACCGGGAACCGCCCCAAATGACATTGGCCGGACAGAACCTCCTATATAAGGCCTTATTTGACATTTTTTGTAAGTTCGAGGCCCTGTCTGACCCTTTTCTCTAATAATAATAATCATAATTAATTACAAATGTATGACTAAAAATTGATAGAGTATATGGGTCCAGATCCATGGTCCACGTACTCTTGGGCCTCTCGACCAAACACAGCCCAGAATGAAGAAATACACCTATACTCCGTACTACTCACCTCTTTGATAGTCAGGTATATCCCCTCAAATCCATCACCTAGGACCAGACTTATTTAATGGGTCCCAAACAAAATTGCTCAGAAACCAAAAGAACATCAGATCTGAGGTGCACCAACACCTCGAACAACATCACCTCGATCAATAGGAAACACCTGACCAGAAGTCGGTTAAAGAATGACACAATCACACTCTGCCACGCATCAGGGCTCTCGAAAAGATCTACATTTTACAGGAACAACTTGGGTAAATCAACGCAATACTTTGTGAGTTTATTAGTATGATGTACAAGTATATAACTTTATTCACCAATAATGAAAAGTATTAGAATAATCATTATATAAATCATTAAGACAAGGATTTTAGGTAGTTAGAGCAACTAAAAAGTTATCAAAGTTGTTATAAAAGTCATCTGGTCATTTCATAGGCGTTAATAAAAATTTCTCCTCTATCATTGTAATGGTTACAATAGACTTTTCACGTGAGATTTCTCTGTTGTGGGAGAGCTGTATAACTTTATTAAGCTGTATAACTCTATCATACGCCAAATATGATCTTTTTCAACAGACTAGAACAGTTAAAAAAAATTATTTTCAACAGTTTCGAGATGCGTCAAAGTGGGTATTAAAAAAAGAGTCAAAAATTTACTCGACTCACTTCACTTGTTGATGTCAAATTTTGAAAAACTACTCCTTTGAACTGTCAATAATTTAACGACAAGAAATATAAGTCGAGAGTAGTTAGAGTATATTATTATATCACTACAAAAAAACACGCCGTTTGTCACGGATTTTGTCACAGACGGTAGTTCAAAAAATCCGTGACAAATGATTTTTTGTCACGGATTTGTCACGGATCCCATCCGTGACACCAGGGGCGTGATAACGTTTTGTCACGGAAATTAATCCGTGAGATTGTTTGTCACGGATTTGTCACGGCCACGGTCCGTGACAAAACACTTCACCGGAATCCCATCGCCTTTCATTTGTCACGGACGCATCCGTGAATAAATGTTTTTATTTTTCAAAAAAAATAATTACTTGTCACGGAAATATCCGTGACAAATTAAAAAAAGGTTTTTCAAAATAGAGTGGGCGGGTATTTGAAACGGTCCGGAAAATTCAAATTTTAAATTTTGAAATAGAGTGGGCGGGTATTTGAAACGGTCCGTGACAAAATATTTTGAAAAAAAATTGAAAATTTTAAAATAGAGTGGGCGGGAGCTTTAAAATTTTCAAAAAATTCAAAATTTTGAATTTGTCACGGATCCCATCCGTGACAAAACATTTTTTTAAAAAAAAAAATACGTTAATTTAGCGTTTTATGTATTTAAAATAAAATGAATTTATATTTTGTCACGGAACAGTCCGTGACAAAAGTTTAAATTTTTTAAAATTTTTTTTTAAAAATTCAGCGCATTTTTAAAAGTTTATTTCAAAAGTTTATTTAATAAAAATAACCATTAAAATTTAGGCGCTTTTTCAAAAAGTTAAACTTAATAATAAATAGTTAAACAATAATCATAATAAATCATTGTTTATAATAAATAATTAAACAATCATCATTAATCACCATTACACATTAGGTATCATAATAAATAATAATCTAATCAAACCATCATTATAAAACACAAATAAACTATTATTTAAACACAATCAAACCATTACACATTAATATTCATACATTAACACATCAAAATTTTAAAATCCTTAAAATGTTAATCAACTAATTATTACAAACCATCAATGGTCATCATAATCAGCATCAGCATCATCAGGTTCGTCACGATGATCGGGTTGCCTTCCGTGGCCACGGCTGCCACCACGATGACCGCCTCGACTGCCACTGCGGCTGCCAGCACGGCTGCTGCCACGGTAAGCTTGAGCTCCGGGAGTCGGGATATCGTCATAATATCCATATGGAAAGTTGTTGGAGATGTGGCTATAATTAGCAAAACCCCTACTACCCATACTGCCCATATTGCCCATATTGCCCGCGAAGGGAACTTGTGGGGTCATCTCGGGGTGCTGTATGTGCATGGATGGACGGTAGGTGGCGTTGAAAATACGCATTTGGCATTCCATCTCTTCCAACCTTTCTCTTGTTCTTCTTTGCTCTTCATCCCGTATCCGAGTTTCTTCATCCCGCCTTCGAGCCTCGGCTTCACGTTCCTCCAATAGTTTCTCGAGGCGGGTAACCCGATCATCATATGCCGAATGAGAAGATGAGCTAGCTCCTTTGGTCTTCTCGAGGATCCGTACGCCTTCAGAACCCATAAACGGCACCCGGCCCTTGTAAACTCCGGTTGCCGCCAAGATGGCTTCATCATCTTGATTTTCATCAAGTTCGTCATCAGAATCAGCTAGCTCATCAACTCTCTTCCCCCGCTCTTCCTCATATTTTTTCTACAAGTTCAAAAATTTATTATATAAGAGATCTAAAAAAATCGAAATTTATTGAATTATGTTTCATTATTTACTTCAATTTCATAAAGGCGGGGAGGCGGCATGGCACCCTTCTTAGTCCAGCAATGTGCCATGAGTTTCAATGGCGTGACCCGTTTTTTCACGGGTCCAGATCCTTCCTACACGGATTTCAAAGTTAATAAAAATATATATATACATAATGGTATGGAATGGAAATAATTTTAACTAAATAGAGTTTACCAGATCTTTTTTATGTTGACTTTGGGGTTTGCGGCCCCCGTGCCATTGAACTTCCTTGGCTTTCTCGGAAGCCCGGTTTGCCTTGCCCATTTCGCTTCTCAGCAAAAATGAGGCATCCGTAGCCCAGTGGCGGCAAAGCATCTCCCACACATCATCGCCAAGGAACTTTGGCTTTTTACCCGTAGACCGGGCGGTCCTAAAAGTGGGTCTCAACCACCCAGAAATCCTAGAATTGTATTCTTTGAGAATCGCTTGGTCTAGGGCAAAATGCCAACGATGGGAAGCCTTCATGAAAAACATTGATATATCATCATTTCTTAAATTTAAGTTACTAAAATGTAACAAAAATATTTATTTTTACCTTGAACAACCGCCACCATAGTTCACGAGTGGCCGCCGGAACCTCACCATAAGTCGACCACGGCCCGGTGAAATGACCACAAACAATAGCCTTGATTCTATTCAAGACCTCGGAATCGCTTCAAAAAATTGATAATTGATAAAAACAATTGTATTAATTCTTAGATAAAGAGATTATACTATTTTATATTAGAGAATGTTAGTTTTTTATTACCTATGGATCGATTGAGGTGTCACCTCAAGCGAACCGGGATTGTGGCGCTCTTCTTGAGTGGGGGGGGGGGGGGGGGGCATATATTGCACGAGATGAAGGAGGTGCATGAGATGATGCCCCCTCCCCATGCACGCTTATATGAGCGTCTGATTGTTCGGAGGGAGGAGTTTGGACATGTCCGTCAAGAGCTTGTCCTTCGTCGGGATTGATATCATCATTGATATCACGATCAGCATTTGAGGCCCGTCGTGAATTCTGACGCCCACGACGAGCAATGGCTGAAAGGCGGCGTTCGTGCTCACTCATCTAAAATTATTGAGAAATAATATATAGAACATATTAAACTGGTGTTTAATATGAGAGGTCAAATGATATTATTTTTATGTTATGGAATTTAATTGTGTTAGATATTATTTTATCAAACCTTATAAAATCAGTTTATGGGGTTTTTGTGTAATATGATATTTTAAACTTAATGAGTTTCCCTATTTGGTTATCAAACTTTGAAATATAGAACACATTAAACTTGAGTTTAATATGAGGGGTAGAATGTGTTTTTTGTATGATTTTTATGTTATTGAATTTCATGATGTTAGGTATTATTTTATGGTGTTTTTGTGTGGTATGAAACTTTGATAAATATAACATATTAAACTTGAGTTTAATATGAGGGGTCGAACAAGTTTTTTGGATGATTTTTATGTTATGGAGGTAACTTGTGTTGTGTATATTTTTTATGAAACCTTATATAAAATCAATTGATCAAACTTTTTAATTTAAACTAATAAAATCAGTTTTTCCCTATTAAATTATAAATCATCGAAAATCAGTTTTTTGCATTAATTTAGAAAAATACAATTTATTACATCTTGTATTTGGTATTATTTATAAAAAACAGTTTTCTAAAATCAGTTTATGAAGTTTTTGTGTGGTATAATGGTTTAAACTTATTAGTTTCCTATTTATTCATCAAACTTTGAAATATAGAACATATTAAACTTGAGTTTATTATGAGGGGTAGAATGAGTTTTTTGTATGATTTTTATGTTATTGAATTTAATTGTGTTACGTATTTATCAATCTTTGAAATATAGAACATATTAAACTTGAGTTTAATATGAGGGGTAGAATGAGTTTTTTGTATGATTTTTATGTTATTGAATTTAATTGTGTATGGTATTAATTTATAAAAAAACAGTGACCTGATTTTTAAAATCTATAAAATCAATTTTTTCAAAAAAAATTTAAAAATCAGTTTCATTTTTTGTTTATTCATGAAACCCATAAAATCAATTTTTCATGAAACATATGAAATCATTTTCGTATTATATAAACAAAAACAGTTTGTTTGGTTTTTTATTTCTATTTTAATATATAAAATACATTTTTTTACTTCATTTCTGTTTTATGTTATTTATGAAACAACGTTTTATTTAAAATAAAATATTATAATATCCGAAATTTTTTAAAAATCAGTTAAATAATCCAAAATTTTTTAAAGTGTTTTATAATATTAAAAAAATAATATAATATCCGAAATATTATAAAAAAAAAATTAACAGTTTCATTATTTTGTTGGGTTAGACATGTTAAATAAAATTTCCCAGAAATCTGTCATGCAAAATAAAATTTGTAAACAAACAAATGTTCTTATTAAACAAATCATCGTTTATAAATGAAATTATGACTAACCTTTCAAATCTGTACATCCAACGATAGAAGACGGGCCCTCCATTCAAAGCCTCATACGGAAGATGTATTAGAAGATGTTCCATTACATCAAAAAATGATGGGGGCAGTATCTTTTCCAGATTACACATCAGAATAGGAACAGTGTCTTCTAGTCTCCTCAGGGATTCGGCATCCAAAACGGCGGAACATATCGACTGAAACAATTGACTGATTTCGGTAATACAGCCCCAGACGTCTGCAGGAAGCATCTCTTTCAGTGCAATCGGTAGAAGTCGTTGCATGATTACATGAGCATCATGAGTTTTCATGCTCGACGTCATTGTTTGTTTGTCCAAGTCCACGCATCTTGACAAGTTAGAACAATAGCCATCTGGAAAGTTCAGAGAAACAAGCCACTCTAATATTGATTCCCTTTGTGGGGCTGTGAGTTGGTAGACTGCTCTTGGAATTTTTTTACCCACGTATTCTAGATCGACGGCGAGTTCGGGTCTGTCGCACCAAATTGTCATGTCTTTTCTAGATGCAAGACCATCTTTGGTTTTGTGGGTAAAATCCATAACCGTGTTAAATATATTGTCAAAGACGTTCTTCTCAACGTGCATGACATCTAAATTGTTACGAATGAGAAGGTCCTTCCAATACGGCATCTCCCAAAATATACTCCTCTTTGTCCACTTATGGGTATCACAATACCCATTTGGCTCCCCGTGGGGTTGCTGCACGGCCGTAGGAAAACGTCGAACCCGGTTAAAAACTTGTTCACCTGTAAGTCTCGGAGGAGGGGGATCTCGTACCACTCTTCCGGCAATAAAAGACTTCTTGTCCTTTCGATATCGATGGTTCATAGGCAGAAACTTGCGGTGACAATCAAAGTAACTTGGTTTCCCGCTAAATTTGAGCCAATTGGCCTCTGATTGATCCATACATATCGGACATCCCATAAGACCGTGTGTGCTCCATCCTGAAAGCATACCATAAGCAGGGAAGTCGCTAATGGTCCAAATGATGGCAGCTTTCATGATAAACATCTGATCTCTCGAAACATCATAAGTTGGTGTCCCAATGGCCCAAAGTTCTTTCATCTCCTCGATCAGGGGTTGGAGATAGATGTCTATCCTTTTTTTAAGATCCGAGGGACCTGGACAAATTAAAGTTAAAAAGATGAAATGACTTTTCATGCACATGTCGGGAGGAAGATTATAAGGAGTTAACATGACTGGCCAACATGAAAATTTCTTCCCAAACTTTCCAAAAGCAGCAAATCCGTCTGAACACAATCCCAGTCGCACATTCCGTGGCTCCATTGCAAACTGAGGATGACAACGGTCAAAGTGTCTCCAAGCTTCACAGTCGGAAGGGTGAGACATCAAACTCTCTTTGGTTTCGTGCTCAACATGCCACGTCATGTGTTTCGCAGTAGCATTTGAAGCATACATCCTCTGCAGGCGTGGAGCTAGAGGGAGGTAAAACAATTTAGACAATGCAGACCTTTTTCGTGGTTTTTTTCGTCTATGAGGAACAGGCTTGTATCTCTCTCCACCACAGAACTTGCAGGTCTCAAGTGCCACATCATCCTTCCAGAACAACATACATCCTTCTGGGCACGCATCAATTTCTATACAAGGAAGCCCCAACTGAGACATTAATTGTTTCATTTTGTAATATGAATCAGGAAGATTATGGTCACGCGGTAACATTCCTCCAAATGACTGCAATAACCTAGACATGCAAGATTCAGGAAGATTGTATTCAGATTTAATGTTCATCAACTCTGTAACGGCGGATAGCTGAGAGTATCCCTCACAATCAGCATACAGAGGCTGATCAGCAGCTTTTAAAACATCTTGAAATCTTTCAGCTAAGTCTTCAATATGAGGAACATGAGAATTCGGATACTCATCCGCAGCAGACTGATAAAAGGTCTGATCTTCATCCGCATCGGGTTGATACGAGGTCGAAGCTTCGGGAAGATCGTTAAATGGCTGTGGTGGGTTAAACTGCATCGTTGAAGCACCGTATACATCATATGCCATTCTTTGATCCCACGTCATTTGATCATAGTCTCCCCATCCACTCATCTCGGTAGGGACGTTACGAGATGAACCCACTGTTTGCGGTAAAAGTGATGGATCGAAAGGTTCGCCATGAGAAGTCCAATTATAATAATTGGCAACGAAACCTTTTTCGTACAAATCCCACACAACTTGGTCGACATCTTTAAATTGAAGATTTTTACACTTTGTACATGGACATCTGATTTTATCTCCATCCATATAATTCTTCTGTTCTTGTGCAAATTTAATAAAATCTTCAACACCATTCAAAAATTCACTGCGTATTCCATAGTTATCGCGATGTTTTTGGTACATCCAACTTCTGTTTTGTCTATACATTATGCCTGTATATATATTATAATCAAAATAATATATAAGTACATTAATATTATTAATTAACTAAAAGCAGTACATTATTTAATTTGTGGCATTAATTATTTGAATTAACCAACTTTAATTTGTGACATTAACTAAAAGCGTTGATTTACTAATATTTAACTAATAGTAATATGTTAATGGCATTGATCGTTTTAATTATTAACTACTAAAGTTTGAATCCTAACTGAAATCACTACAAATCCTAAATTATGTATTAACAATAATTAACTAATAAACAAATTAAACCTAATCATCATCATTGATCAATTAATTAACTAATATTTAAATCTAACTAATATTATCAACTCAAATTCCTCAATGTTTTAACTTAATTAATTAGTTAATTAATTTACATTTAACTAATATTATTGTTAAATATTATCTCATTAATAATTCACAATAATAATTCACAATAATAATTCACAATAATAATTCACACTAAACTAAATAAAAATAAAGTTTCAACCCGGCCTAGCTATATATATTATGCATCCCATTAACAATAATTAACTAATTTAACTTATTAATTAGTTAATTTCCATTTAACTAATATTGTTAAATATCATTAATTCACAATAATATATAAT